ACCCCCAATCTTTATATCTTTCGATCTGTAGCAAGTGATGGATGGATGGATGATCGTATTGCTGAGATAAGTTGCAGTTAAATCGCAAATCAATGGAAATGTTTCTTGAAAATTAACTCCTTAAACGCAAATGGAAATGTTTCCACAGTCAAGTAAATATGATGAAAATTAATTTATAAGTGATTTATATTTAAAAAAAAGGTGTGAAATATCAACAGCAACATATGGACTAAATGTCTGTTCTATATGTGGTGTTTCATATTTAAGATATATAAAAATACATTTTATTATTTTGAATATTTCCTTCAGGAAATCCATGAAAATATAATTGTATTTAGTACACATTGAGAAAGTATGCCAGCCTATCCAGAAGTCTTTATAGGTAGTTCTAAGCGCTCTGATCCCAAGGGGTAATCATATTAAACAGGCTTATGCTTAGTTACAAAAATGTAATTACACATGAAATCGCAAAAACTAAACGAGTGTCATGCATGTCAGATGCCATAAGCAACGACGGAACAGAATCGAACTTTTCCCGATTCTCAAAGTTCATAAAAGATTTCAAAGTACACGGCTGCTTAAAGGTACACTCTTAAAAGGGGAAGAAATTATAAATATACACACAGGGCACATTGAAATTAAACTAAATGACATGACAAAGCTAATGGCTAATAATGAAGTGGGCTTTCAAAGGGGCTTTATCGTTATTGTTTTTTTTTTTTCGCTTCTGTTTTATTTTAAGATTTTCGTTCCAGACATTAAACCGTTTAAATATAAACCCCATTACAGGACAGCCCAAAAATGAATGCAATTTTTGAGGCACACAGACCCAGTACCTTCTTCTCAACAGAAAAGCATGTGGCATGTGGCACACGCAACAATTGAGGTGGGCTTAGGGTGGTATCCATCTTCCGTGTTTGGTTAAATGCAATTTGAGGTATGCCAAAACGTTGCCTCATTCCGCGTTTGGCCAAGTAATTGTGCAGTCAGTCAGCGCAACGATGATTGAAAGCGAAACACACACCAACAGAATTGTTGTATTGGCAAATTCATAATGCGAAAGGAAATCAATTGAAAACGTATGGAGATTTAACAATTAATATTGTTTATATAAATAAATATTGCTTGTTTATAAATGAAAATATCAATTAATTACTTTCTTTTAATTTAAATTAAATAAATATTTAACATGAATCAAACCATACACAAACCAATCAAAAGCATCAAATGCGTAAAAATTTTAAAATAAACACAAAATGGCCCTTCTTTCTAGCTTATCCGTTCCAAACCAAAAAAGCTTTCAAATTAGATGAATTTAATGAAATTGACAAAGAAACTAATTCTGGTAACCGAGTCTTAAAAATTACACTAAAACCGATATTTACCAAGAAATATTAACCACACATCGTAAATTCATGCCGTTCTTATTTGCCCATTTATTTTCCAGGAAAATGTAGTAATTAATCATTCAGGAAAACACCAGATATTCCATGGTATTCCCAGTAGTGTCTCATAAAGCTATAAATAATTATTTATAAGCTTCTGAAGATTCGCAAATTAATTATTACAAATTAACACAAGACTCAATGAAGCACGCGTCGGATGAAAATATATCAGATAAATGAACTTATCACCTGGGGGCTCTGCTGGTGTTTCTGCTTTGTTTTGTGGTTTGGCTAGTTTGTTTGAGCCAGGCCGAAATCACAATCATAATAAAATATACACAAAAATCAAACGAAACGCGACTCGAGTGGGACAAAGATATATTCGAGTGTTCAGCAAAGATTCCCCTCGTTTCCAACTATAATTATTAAAGTTTTTTGCTGCCTTATGCCTTTATAATGCTTATTTTTTCGTCTATCCAGACAGGTCTGGCTCTAATCGTTTCAACTTTTGTATTTTTTTATTTTTTTGGCATGTGCCAAAACAATTTGCCTCCTGCTGCTGCTGTTGCTACCTGAACTTGAGCTCGTTTTGTATTAATTCTCTCTGTGTGTTCACTTTTACTCAAAGAATTTGTCTGCGTCGGAAAAACTCTCACTGCGCTCAAAAAACCGACAGGCTGACATGTCAGGTGATGTGTCAAATGTCTACGAGTATCTCCGGCTACGTGCCGCATCGTCCAAGTGAAATTGAAAACTACAAAAAAATCAGTCAGACAAGCCATGTTCATGTCCATGTCCGGAGTCCAGAGACATAAAGTTTAATGCAAAAACGCGGCACAGAAGGAGACTATCAACACTTTTATCACACAGCTGTGGATGTATTTATGTATCTATTAAAAGTTCTTTCACACAAAAATGTATATGTTGGAAAGTGGAACAGTCTATCAGTAGCACTTTCACATTCTGTGATCTTAAGATAATTTATTCATCAACTCAAATGCATACAAAATATAATAATTGCACTTCCTTGAAAAATGGATCTTGGATCTTTAAAAACAGAAGAGACTTTCAATTGCAGATAATAGACTTGAAACTTTAAACCCAACATCGCGTTCTCTTAAGTTACAAACGTACGATAAATAATATATTTCCTTTGACTGTAGCTTTTAATGAAGTGGAATCACTCACACTCTCACGGCAGTGCCAAATCCATTTATTTATACTCATTTTGTCATTCCCGCATTGATTGTTAAATTTATTTACGTTTGCGCTCAAATGTATTCAAATTTGTCAACGTTTTTCCAGACAGCATTTTGCTTCATTCAAGTTCAAAGTTCAGATGTTACGAGATGATAATCGTGTTTACTGAACTGACTTGCTATATTAAGCCGATTAGTGGAACAAGTTTGGATGTTAAGAAGTAGGAAAAGTCCCATGCAAGCGTACAATAATTGAGATACTTAGATTTGAAAAGGAGGAAATTGCGCAATTTCAGATATACAAACTACGAGGAGTGCAGGGAATGACGCAAATTTATGATCTAAGCTAAATTATATTCATTGCATGTCAGCAATTGTTTGCTATTTTCAACTGCCGTTCATCATTTCCGTTGACAAATTCTCATTGTTCGGAGTTCGGGAGACATCTCTCGAATGAAATTTTGAGCATCTATCGATGGCAGTCAACCAAGCATGAACGACCTCAAATCGTATACTTATAAGAGTATTAGAATAACGATCAATAATAATAACTTAAACAAGGCTTGTTGCTCTGGCTTTAAAAATTGAAACTTTGTATTATTTTAGTCTTAAGATTATATAAATAAATAAAATTATCGAAAATGATGATCAAAGTCGAGTATTAAGACTGCTTATTGTATTGCTCACATTGGGTGTGTCTCATATTAAATCTCTTGTCCGTGTAATGGAAAGTATGAGCGAAATTGAGTTTCCCAGCAACTGGCACTCCATACATCGATCTTTCTTCTATGTTTAAAAATGTCGCCAAATTGTAGCTGGAAGTGATCGTAATCCCTTGGGAAAATATATAAGGTTTTGAACTAGTATCGAACTAATCCTTAGCACTGACAAAAGTGTCAGATCCTCAGGACTACCGTTTTAGCATTCAGCAGAAGGTTTTCTGTGGTAGTCCTTTTAGCATTTTTTAATGGTTTTTTTAACTATTGATTTCTACTGTGTTCTCGTGTTCTTTATTATTTTGTTGTACTTTTATTTGAAAAAATGGTCAAATTTCAAACTTCCAGTACTTCTTCTAGTATTTATATAGTACCTAACTCCAAAGCCAGTTTAAAAAATATATATTCAAGTAGAAACATTTCATAACAAAAATGTATTGAATAATAACACCCTTTTTGAGCAGTATTGCCATGGACCATGTCTATGAATTATCTGCAGACGAATTGACGTGGGAACCAGTAGCAGAATCGTGGCCTGTCCCAGTCCAGAGACCTATATGGGCTATTGATCCAGAGATTATTCGAGAGCTTTTGCAAACGAAGGAAGTACGAGTTTCCCTTCCGGCACCTGTCCCGGAACTTATTTATAAGTGTGCAATCCAGGAGCCAGAGTTAGAGCAGTTTTCTGTAGCTGCAATGTACTTCAGGTACCGCTTTACGTACATAGTCCCAATTGTTCTGGCGCTACCACTGTTTTATTGGGCATTCAAATATGGCGACCCCTTGGAATGTATCGGAGACACCCTGAAAGTCCTATGGCAGGATCGCTCGTATTATGATGCTTTTACTGTGTACTTAATTTAATTCAATTGATTTAGAGAACTCTACTCCTTACAATTGAAGTGCAATAGAACGCTAGCTCCAAAGATCCAGAGTGGGAATAAAAAAGGTTGATAATGTCTTCTCCTGGGGTAAACATCAGTTACAGACATCTTACCACACTGGATTACCGGTTACAAAAGAAACATAAACCAAATGAGATACAGATCGTTGATCTCTTTCGACCTCATTTGTTGTGCGTGGAATTGCAATTTGCGTGGAAAGGCAGGCCATCGATACGGCTTACGGCAGAAGAAAGAGACAGAATCGGGGCTAAAAGGGCCAACATTTAAATGGGTCTCTCGATGCAATTAAAACGCAGACAAAAAAAGCACAGTGCTGAAAGGCAGTAAACACACACACACACACACACACTCGGGTACAGCAACACAGTAACAGTAAGGCAGTCAGCGGTCACTCAAATCCGCAAATTAGCATTTAAGTGCCGCTCAACAGTTAAGTCCCAGCACATATTCTACTCGCATGACTAGCGGCAATTAGAAGTGAACTATAGTTTAAATTATATAAAAAATGATGGACTAGACGAGTACTCTTTCCACCAACTAAAGATCTTGTAAGTCAGGAGAAAGATACCAGATACGTCAACAGTTATGTAAGAAGTACATTATGTTCATCCTCTCTTGCTTTTTATAGCAAATGACCCATATTGAAGGTGGTTCTAAATGTGAGAGAGAGCAGTGGGGCATGCAACAATGTTTGAATAGTGTGTTCGCTGCAGCTGGACGGAACGTGAATTTAACTGATGCATTACCAACAGTTTTGTTTTTTTTAGGAAGGGTAATGTTAATGTTTATATTTACCGGAAGAGTTTCAGAAATCTCAAAGAAATTCTTGATAGTGTGTGCTGTGTGCAGCCTGCAAAAGATAAACACAAACAAACGAAAATTGATTAAAATATTTGAGGAATAAATATGGTGAAATATATCGAATTCGGAAATTTTGAGCATGAGACTGTTTTCACACGCCTCATGGATGGTGGCTTTCACATGGACATACCTTTACTATGTGGTATTAGCGGACTGGTAATCTCCCACCATGGGGAGTGCAATTATGGGGCGATTTATTGAAAATGAAAATAAACAATCGTCTCGAAAAGAAATGAAATCAAATCAAACACACAGAAAATCGAAATCAAAGCTCTTGCACAATGAGAAAAAATATTTGGAATGGGGGAAAAAGCAAAGCACAGAAAGACTCAAGACTCAATCAAAAGCAATCAAGTGGCATGGCATCAACAGAGGCAACAACTTCAAGCTGCAGTTTTTTTTTATGTATTTTTCTCTGGGATCACAGATGCGTCACTAAAACCGAAACAGAAACAACAACAGAGAGTGCAAGAGATACAAAGATACTTTATGTAGGTTGTTGCTCGGTTTCCTCTTTCTCCAGCTGTTTTTACTCTTTTATTTTTAGTCATGAATCAAGCAATTGTTGGGTTCTGTTTTAAGAGATATATTCATGTTGGTGGATTATGGGGCGGGGTAATGTAATTGGCCTGGCTGCCTGGCCAAACGGGTTAACGTGAGCGTTAACGCTAACCCAAAAGAGTAGTGTGAATAAACGCGTATCTCTCTCTCTTGGTAACAGATACAAATTGCTTGGGGAGACACACAGACCTGACTAATTGTTTGTTCTGCAGCTGAGGCTGCTGCGTATCTGTCGCCGCAGTCTTCTTTTTTGGGAAAGTTCTGGGCCTGACCTTGTTTCCCTCCTTGCCTGCGCTTTTTTAAGGTTTTTTTTTTGCCAAACAATACAGAAAAGTGTGGCCAATAAAGCACCAAAATAGAGGAGAGAAAAGTAGTAGGGAAACAAAACGGCAATTAGAAAAGCCTCAACCAAAACATGATTCCGCACTTTGCCACTGTTTCAGCAGTTGTGTAAACACTCTACGAGTCATTCCCGGTTAACTTTTAGAAGTGGAACTAATGCGACAGAACAGTCGAACAGTCAAACTGTCGCTCTGGTCGTTCTGCCTCAGTTGTGGTCCATTTCCACAGCTAATTGATCTTTGCCATCCCGAAATGTGTCACACTTCCAGCTATATATCGGTGGAAGCGTCGAGAGGCCAGCCTACAACGACTGTAACAAAAAGTGGGTCAAATATAATGATGCTCCCCAAAAGAATGTGGACATGTTTCACCCCAGGGTGGTCTCAAAATAATTTCGATTAGCCATGGCTGCTGCATGGGGTCTTCCGGACATTCCTTTTATGTATTAACTAATTTTGATTTAAGAATTTAGTTTCAATTAATCATTGGAATGGCCATAGGAAATCCATCAGTCTATTTGTTCATTTATTTACTTAAAACATAGCTTAAAGCGTGTAGAAAAGGTTGTAATACTACAACTAAGCTAATCAATCAACATGATTCAATTTTTGTGATGGTTTTTACGATATTAATTTTTACTTCCAAAATTAATTGAGTTTTAATGAAGGTTAGATCTTGGGAAATTTTATTAGATTGAATCTGTGGAGATAAAATCATTGAATAAAGAAGAAAATGTCTGTGGCGACTAAGGGCTCCCTCTTCCAGTGTTTCTTAGCAGCAAAGAGGAAGATTTCTCATTTTTAGCTTCGCTCTTTTGAATTCCTTACGGTTTTCTCTTTTAAGGCTTTAAGGTTTTCTTGGGAGGGATTTTATCTGAGTCCTGGTTGCTTCTTTTTGAACTCTCTTCCCATTTTCGCAAATCTTCATTAACACAGGCATCGATGGGAACATGGTTTATTTGAACACTTTCCTCGCACGATTCAAATAAAGCATAAAATAGTATCTGGGTCCATAAACCAATTCCATAAACGATGAGTTTTGTCGTTTTTGGCGTAGGCTGTACCTGTATCGCTGGACCAACCTTCCACTCTATGTATCCGTGTCTGAATATCTACGAGTATGCATAACTAGCAAAGAACAGGCCTGGGCAGGTCTGGCACTGGCTCTGGCTCTAGGTCTGGGTCTGGGGCTGCATCGTTGATAATTTATATGTGTCGTCCAGCCCCCACAATCAAGTAAAGTAACCCAGCGAGTGCCTTTGTTTTTTATCGACAGACGACGTCTAGAGCTCCAGAGCGTCTAGAGGTGGGACGAGAGTGAGCTTTATTTCCGTTTCGTTCTCCTTCTTACATATGTAATTGCACTCACGACACCCGAACAACGAGTTCGACAACGAGTTGGGGTTCGGTTTTGAATCAGAGTACTGTAATGGGGGAACCTTCCTCTACCTTTTAATTTGTGCGGCATTCCCCACTGTACGATGTGCCCGTCTCCGTCTCCGTCTCCGACTCCCTCTTTAACTTTTCAGTGGCTGCCTCATTTTAATGTTGTGTAAAGTTCTAAGACCCCCGACAATTGCAACGGAAGTGCGTTCATTATTTTTAATGATTTTATTTAGTGGCCGTTCTACCTGAAGGAGGTTCCTCTGCGGTTGGTTCTATCTGTGGGTTGTCTGTCTCGCATTTGAATGCCTTTGGACTTAAGGATTCATCTCCTTATCCTGAATCTTGAGTTAAGGAATGTCTGGCCTGCCTTGTTATGGCTCCACTCCAAGAGCAAGAGGCAAGTAATTAGTGGCTGGAGTCAGGTGGGAGCGACGGCAAGCATAAACAAGTCAAGTTCTTTGATTCCCAACTCCATAAAGATTAGGTATTTATGAGCCATACCCAGACCCAGACCCCGACTTCCGTCCACGAATGATGAGGGTGGATTTCTCTACAAATAATATCTCTACACAACAAAGAATCTCTCTACCTGCAGCTAGAGTTTTATTGAGTTACAAAGGTCTGGGCATATCCTAACCTTTCAGGTTACGAACCTTACACCGAGCGATTGCCCGGAGCTATCTCTATCTTCACATCTGTCGCCGTGTCTATTTTTGTCTGAGTGCGCAGTGCGCTCTAATTGCATCTCTCAACAATTAGCAAACCCGGCTAATTTTAATAATTGAATGGAAAACAACATAAGAGTCAAACAGGGAGTACACCAAGAGAGAGCCCTGGGGCTAGCCACAAATTGACATTCACATGGGCAACTGTCAGTCAACTTTGACCGCAACAATACGAGTATTACATATGTACATCCAACATGCAAATAAACACAAATATTTATGCAGTGAAGCAACGAAGCTTGAATACCCTTCCTTACAAAACTATGGGAGTTCTTAAAAGTCTTTCTGTGGGAATTATTTGCTCAAGTGGAACGGGGTTCGTTTCACATTAGTTATGGAACACCTTAAACAAAGTTCCAACTTTGTTAACTTATTTTGGGGTTGGAATATTCCAAAATGCTAAGAAGAAACTTTTATTTAACTGATATCAACCACATTAGTTCTCTTAGCCGTTGAGCTTAGTTAAAAACTAACTAAAAACTAACTAAAACAATAGGGAAAACCATTCAATACATTTATAACTAATCATTCCCAAGATATCTTAATGAAAAACGATTAGCTGTTCCTTCAACTTGCGGTTTCTCCATCACTGTTCCGATTTTACATAAACGATTATCAATAGAATATATCTAGCAGTGAAGAGATTTAATGAGAGAACGCCATAGAGACATTGCTGAATTTGCTGCGAGAGAGAGGTTCAAAAAGGAAGTATCCTACTTGTCGCTAATGGGAAATTTGGATTTCGAATCAAGGTTTCATTCAACTTTTACAAAACAATTTTAAGTTAGTCTTTACCATCTTTAGACCTTTAGGAGCAAGTGCAGAAACGACTCTTACCGCTAAAATATGACAACCTTTTGAATTGAACATTCTCAAAATAGAAACAAACAAATATTTATAGTTTCTAAATTAATGACAGATACTAATTTTATGGGGAACATTATAATCATACACTAGTAAATAGAATTAGCGATTTAGTGATCTTTATGACAACTCGAAATGGAACAAGTTTCAACAAGTATTTGAAAATATATTCCTCATTTCGTTAAGATATGTTTTTTATATTGAAATGACATCATTGGCAACAATTACAATAATGAAGGTTAAGATGCAATCACTCACACTCTACACACTCTGGTTAAATACCCTTTTTTGGTAGAGCATCAGAAGTCAACTTTTTAATGCCGGGGGGGGGCACCGAACCGTATGCCCCTGACTGACAAGTGCTCAGAGTGATGGCTGCGGGGAGACTCAGGATGGGAGCGGTTACATCTGAGACAATTATAAATACAAATACACAATTGCAGCCACAAAAGGGTGAGCACAAAACGTTGCATGACACGCCACCACCAAACACAGCAGCAGCAGCACTACCAACAACAAAAACAAACAACAATCGACTGTTGCATGTGATTTTCCAGATACCCAATACTTGTGAAGTGCAAAGGGTATGGATGGGAGCCTTACCGGTCAATTATTATGAATGCATCCAATGAGTAGCCCCATTGTCGAGACACTTCACTGCGGCATTGTCTCTTATTTGTATATATATTTTGATGAGAGGCTGGGGCCCAGCGGCTACCGAGAGGGGACGTTTTGTGGATTGTCATGCACCGATTTACATATTACTGAAATCGGTATAAAAGGCACAAAACAAAAGCTGAAGCTGAAGCCCCGATGCTGCTGCTGATGCCGATGCTGAAGCTTAAGCTGGGATAGACAGACAGTTAGACAAACGTCATTCATTCAACATCATCATCATGAACATCATTTGAATCAATTAAACCAGTTTGAGTGGTACCGGGGAACGGGCCTGTGTGAGTGTAAGAGTCAACCCATACTCATTAGGTATTCATCTGCCTCCGCCTCTGCCTCTTGCTGAATCTGAATCTGTATCCGACTCTTCCCCGCTGATGCTGCACTTGATTGATCATTCCACTGAGGCAAAGCCGCGCCTAAAAAACCAAATTCCATGA